TCCAGCATACAAATTGTTAAATTACTGTCTTGCATTAATCCGAAAGAATATTTGATAACTCCGACAAGTTTTTTAAATAACCTAAGAACTTTTCCCGACCGTTATCTCGTCACGTCCAATAACGAATAAATTAATCTGAAGTTTTCTTTCGTCGTAAACGTCAATATTTTCTTCCTAGCGTCAACGTGGCTCATTCATGAAACTGGTTACGCTATTTATAAATAACATATCACCGTTTAATTTACGTAATATTTCACGAGTATTTACATATCCCGATAAGTGGAATCTAATGGCACGATTTATGCTTCTGAATCGGAAAGGACTCGGGTTGCGTAGGATTGTCGTTAGAAAAATATCCGATCTCACGGTATCGCGCTGGCGAACGGTTTTACGATCGGAAATATAAAAGGGGGAAAAAATGTCCACGTTTCCCGATTCCCATTGTACGTGCAAACGTTGCTCAATCAATGCGTTGACACGCGTACTTACGTAACCCCGTTGGAATTCGAGAAAAATTTGAAATCCATCTGGAAATAGAAACTCGATCGAGTCACGCTCGTTCGAGATAATCGTCGGTTCGCCTACGCGGCTTATCTTTGTCGACACTTCGATCTAAAAGTTCAATGTTCGATTCCTCGTGTGACACGAAACAATTGTGCAATGATTTCGCCAGAAAAAAATCTATTCTAACGATCTTATTGTGTATTCTCGCCGTTTAGGAGAGGGAACGTAACACGAGTGCAATTGGCGTTAAATAAATACTGTGAGTTATATCTTTTATTCACTGCATTTATATTTCTATGTTTTTGTTATCGATATGCGGGAGTTAATAATTTTTTCGATACAATTTTATGAGAATACAAGGTGGGTAATCTAATGCTTTGATATTTGGTAGTTGCACATTTGACCAAATGATACATTTAATATTCACTTTACACTTTTGTTATATTTCGTATTCACTTTATACCAGTAAACTTTCAAGATACCAAATGTCTATACAGGGCGACTCACAACTAGTGTAGGACCGTGAAATGGGGAGTAGCTGACGTACGGACCAATCAGAACGCGAGGATCACGCATGCGCAGACGCGAAAGCAACAGCTTCGGGCCTAATGGCTGAGGGGGCGTAATCCTCACGCTCTGATTGGTCCGTACCTCAGTTACTCCCCCTTTCACGATCCTACACTAGTTGTGAGTCGCTCTCTATAGACATTTGGTTAATAAAATGGGTACACAAATTTTTTGTCGCAAACTGTATAATAATAATCTTAACTTTGAATGTGGTTAACCTACCTCGTGTAATAATTATTGAAATATATTTCAATGATTAAGTTATCCAATAAGAAGAGTTTAAATACTTTATAAAATTTCAGAATTATTGAATTATGGATCTAAAAATAATTGTTAAATGCTCCCCAGTTTCATGAACGATTTACCTGTCACAAAAGAATTCGAATTTCAATTTTCCTGCCGATATTAAAAACACCGTATCACGTTTGAAGGCTCGTATTTAACACGTCGACTGGAACGACGAAAATGGTCATAGACTGCGAGACACGTTGTAATTTCAGTCAAACCTTAAATCCGATTCGTCATTTTTTTTTAATTTAACATTCTTTTTTCTAATTCCACTATTCGTGGAAGTAATATCATACTATTTGTGGAGATTAGACAGATTGCGGTTGTTTAACTCTTCGATGCATGATCTTTTCAATTTTTGAGAAGAATGCGTTCCTAAATAATTATACATTAATTATATAATAATTATGTATTGTTATATATTGTATAATAATTGTATATTATTATATGTTATTATTATTAACTGACGAATAAATCATAGTTCAAAGAGTTAAGGTTTCGTCAAAATGTTAATGTTCGCCCAAATAAAGAACCACTTATTATACCAATAACTTGTCAATTAAAAATAAGTAAGAATATGAGAAATTAAAGATGAAGAATACAATAAGGTATAAATATGGAGAAGACGTTAATAGAACAAGTAATTGATAAACTACCATAGTCCCCAAATATTAATAAGAGTGACTATAACGATTGCATTCTCACATTCGCGGTTAAACAGTGCAATACGGTTACAGCTTACTACAATGGGGAAGAAAAATCTGCACGTGAAAGTATCCCGGCTTTGACTCGATGCTTACGTAACACGAGTGGGAGTAAAGAGTAAACGTTTTAAAAGCGTGCAACTGTGTGCTATCACGATTTGTTCGGTAGACATTTAAGGGGAAGTTATAATAAAAATAAACGAATTATTGTGTCCCGTTGTCGCGTTGCGTTGGCTTCGACGGCATTGTCGAAGATTATTTCGAGTCGGAGGGAAATAACCTCCCACGAATCCGCTGAAACTATTATATCGTAGCTTGATATACATTTAATAAATTTATGACGGTCGTTCACTTTTTGGGAACGTTTATTGAAACTCATATCTGCGGATTTATATGCAGCTTTCTAAAGCCTTAAATTTTCGTATTCTTATGTCGTTGGTGTTATTTGATTTTCAGGTTTGTAGAAATGCAAGTTTGTGTGTTTTGAAACTTTCAAGTTTTTGTATCAACACGTTTGCAAGGTTTTATGCTTTTTAATTAACGAAATCTTCCGATTTCTGAAGATTCTCAAATTTTTCAATTTTTAAGTTCGAAGACTAAAGAGCGGAGGTACAAATTCTAACGTTTTTACATGTACAAATTTTCAGATTCATAAATTGCAAAATTTTCCAAATTTATCGGATTCATATACTCTCAGGTTCGCAAATTTTTAAATGACTAAAACCCCAAATTTTCAATTTCCCACATTCTTTAATTTTGCAATTGTCCATCATCCCAATTTTCCAATACTTCAATTTCCAAATTTTTGGTCACCCTAAATTTAAAAATACAAAATTTACAAATTCTTCAATTTAACATTTATCTAGTTGGTTAGTTGCCAATTCCATGGAAATTGTGGATTTCCTAATTCCCTAATTCCATAAATCTCAAATTCCAATTTCCTCAAATTCCCCAAATTCTCCAATTAGGCAATTCGCAAATTCTCCAAATCCCATAAATCCCAAATCCCACAAATCCCAAATCCCACGAATCCCAAATCCCACAAATCCCAAATCCCACAAATCCCAAATCCCACAAATCCCAAATCCCACAAATCCCAAATCCCACAAATCCCAAATCCCACAAATCCCAAATCCCACAAATCCCAAATCCCACAAATCCCAAATCCCACAAATCCCAAATCCCACAAATCCCAAATCCCACAAATCCCAAATCCCACAAATCCCAAATCCCACAAATCCCAAATCCCACAAATCCCAAATCCCACGAATCCCAAATCCCACGAATCCCAAATCCCACGAATCCCAAATCCACCAAATTTCCCAAATCCCCCAAATTTCCCAAATCCCACGAATCCCAAATCCCACAAGTCCCAAATCCCACAAATCCCAAATCCCACAAATCCCAAATCCCACAAATCCCAAATCCCACAAATCCCAAATCCCACAAATCCCAAATCCCACAAATCCCAAATCCCACAAATCCCAAATCCCACAAATCCCAAATCCCACAAATCCCAAATCCCACAAATCCCAAATCCCACAAATCCCAAATCCCACAAATCCCAAATCCCACAAATCCCAAATCCCACAAATCCCAAATCCCACAAATCCCAAATCCCACAAATCCCAAATCCCACAAATCCCAAATCCCACAAATCCCAAATCCCACAAATCCCAAATCCCACAAATCCCAAATCCCACAAATCCCAAATCCCACAAATCCCAAATCCCACAAATCCCAAATCCCACAAATCCCAAATCCCACAAATCCCAAATCCCACAAATCCCAAATCCCACAAATCCCAAATCCCACAAATCCCAAATCCCACAAATCCCAAATCCCACAAATCCCAAATCCCACAAATCCCAAATCCCACAAATCCCAAATCCCACAAATCCCAAATCCCACAAATCCCAAATCCCACAAATCCCAAATCCCACAAATCCCAAATCCCACAAATCCCAAATCCCCCAAAACTTAAATTCCAGTTTCCCTATATTCCCTAACTTGCCTAAATGTCAAATTCCTCAATTCTCCAATTCCCAAATCCCTAATTTTTCCAGTTCCCCATTTCCCAAATTCCCATTTTCCAAACAACCATAACTCTAAATTCCTCAATTCTTAAAATCCCCAACTCCCCAATTCCTGAATCCTTAAAATCCCCAACTCCCCCATCCCTACCTTCTCACCTTCCCACCTCCCCACTTTCTCAAACTTTCAACAATTCCGAAAGCAAACACAAAAATACATCGAACAAAGCCCGCATCTACTTGATAATTACCACATTTACGTAGATAATTGACGACAATTATCGATTAGGCGAAACAGACGGTAGGTTAATTGCAAGTTAATTAGCGAAGTACGTTAATACCGATCAGTTTTTCTGTCCAACCGTATTTCCATATCACGATGGATACGAACGAAAACATGGACGGCACAGAGATGATCGTAAAGTAAGGTAAAGATCGTGTGTTCGTTTAAATGTCGGTATCGTGTTCTGTCGGCGCGGTCGCGTGCATCGTCGAGATTAATCAACACCTACGAGTTGCGAGCTTCCAGCCACGGTAAACGTAATCATTGTCGTGTACCTATGATGGCACAATCGTGTTTGCAATAAAGTGGTAACCACGATCATAATTGTTCCTTACGATCGTAATTTGTATCGTCAAGACATTAACTCGACGCAGCAGCTTCAAATTAAACTGATTTAATACTTTGCGATTTTGTTGCACGACTTGGTTCAACTTTTAACGAGGCGAATTGGGGAATTTTTTTTTCTTGGAATTTAGTGTTTGGAGAGAATTTTAAAGAGGGGACTTTTTTTAATTTTTGAAGTTTTTTTGGTTATAGTGATATTGGGGTTTTGAAACTCAAGAACTTTTACTGTTTACTATTTAGTATTTAAATTCTATTTAAATTCTTCAATTTGTGAATATGACAATAGGTAAATATCGAAATTCCTGAATTTGTAAAAATGACAATCGGTGCATGTCTAAATTCCTCAATCTTGAAATATGGGAAAGAATTTTTCTATTTCCCAAACCCCAAATCCAAAATTTAAATCTAAAATTCTCTAACTCCCCCAGTAAATTCTCGCGCACGAACTTCATTAACCAGAGTCTCCATTTTGAAAATTGCTATCGTTACCATTTCGTGCGCACAGGTGGCCATAAAAGCGTGCAGCAGTAAATTGCAAAGCGTACAACGTAACTGGATATCTCAATTGACGAATTAGATGTTCACCCTCCAATTCCGTAACAATCTCCCATTCCAAAGTATTCTCCAGAATCCACGACCACAACTTTTCCTATACTTTCAACTTGAAAGTTTCAACGTGTCATAAATATTCGATCGTGTAAACAGCTTGCGCGTTAAACTCTAACAACTTCATCGTGATCGCTTCATAACATTTTTCTAATTCGATCTCCACGAAAGATCTGTTTGGCAAGTTTGAAAACACGTAGTGTTTGATGAATTTATCGACTAGATTGGAGCGAAATTATCGGCAGCAAACACGAAAAAAAAAGAACATTACGAAACTGCCTGGCGATGAGTTTAAGTGACGTTCACGATTCTTAATGGTCACTTTATGTAACAACAATTCTACGCCGCTCAATATCTCGAGCGAACCGTTTGCTTCTTTGGCACTAAACGCGATCGTATATACGTGTGTACGTGCAATATTATTCTCGTTTGCTCGTCGAGTTCACGTAAACGAGCGACGGCATTATAGACGGCATTAATTCGACTTGTGCGCGGTCGAATCTGGCTTCTTTAGAAACAAAACATAGCAATCAAGTAGGAAGAACATTTGTTGATTTATAGAGTCATTTAGGAACTTGAAATTTGCCGGTGAGTGGAGGATTAGAAGATCTGGGAATTTGGGGAATTTTGGGAATTTGTTATTTGGACAAATTGAAGATTTAGGGATTTAGACGATTTGAAGATTTAGGGATTTAGGCATTTAAGGAATTTGAAAACTTAAGGATTTAGGGAATTTGTCATTTGGAGATCTATGAATATGGTAATCTAGAGAGTAGTAGCAGTGATAGTATTGGTAATACTAGTAGTAGCAGTAGTGATAGTAGTGGTAATACAAGTAGTAGTAGTGGTAGCAGTGGTAAAACTAGTACTAATAGCAGTAGTAGTAGTAGCATTAATAGTAGTAGTACTAGTAGTAGTGGTGGCAGTCGTAGTGGTAGAACTAGTAGTAGTACTAGTAGTAGTGGTGGTGAAACTAGTAGTAGTACTAGTAGTAGAGGTAGTGAAACTAGTAGTAGTACTAGTAGCAGTGGTGGTGAAACTAGTAGTAGTACCAGTAGTAGTGGTGGTGAAACTAGTAGTAGTACTAGTAGTAGTGAAACTAGTAGTAGTACTAGCAGTACTGGTGCTGAAATTAATGGTAGTACTAGTAGTAATGGTGGTGAAACTAGTAGTAGTACCAGTAGTAGTGGTGGTGAAACTAGTAGTAGTACTAGTAGTAGTGGTAGTGAAACTAGTAGTAGTACTAGCAGTAGTGGTGGTGAAACTAGTAATAGTACCAGTAGTAGTGGTGGTGAAACTAGTAGTAGTACTAGTAGTAGTGATAGTGAAACTAGTAGTAGTCCTAGTAGTACTGGTGCTGAAACTAATAGTAGTACTAGTAGTAATGGTGGTGAAACTAGTAATAGTACCAGTAGTAGTGGTGGTGAAACTAGTAGTAGTACTAGTAGTACTGGTGCTGAAACTAATAGTAGTACTAGTAGTACTGGTGCTGAAACTAATAGTAGTAGTAATAAATACAAAAAAAATATCCCAATACCTAACAATTTCTATTCCAAAAATTCATCCCCCCAAAAATTAACACTACATTCTCACTCCCAACCCAACACTCAATTTCAAATTTCCCCTTTTATATAACCGAAATCAATTAACCCTTATCAAAACCTCCCTTATCATAACCTCCTCTTATTAACCTCCACCAAGCTAAAGAATCACTATATACCTTATCGTCCACGACTTATCTATTTATATAATTCACTCCCAATTTAAACCTATATAATCATTGTACATCCATACATGAAGGGTGCAATCGCGCAACATGTCGCTTCGCTACAATTTCAGATCGCAACGCAAGAGCATCTCAGCAAGGTTCACCGAGAAATCTTTCTCTGTTCCCTTTTCGCTCTCGATTTTTCTTTTTGTCGCGTAATCGAGCAACGTTATACCTATCGATCGTCTCTATTAACTAGTCCGTTACACAACGAACTATAACTATTGCCAAACAATAGATTATGCCGTGGCTGTGCGCCGCCGCTCGACGCGTAGGCCTGGTAGGGGTCTACCTTATGCAATCGTTACATACATTTGGTTATATTATCGGTATTACGTAAAGGCGGATTACAAGGCGCGAGAAGGGAGAAAAGTGTTATAAATTGTCGATATTCAGGATACTCGTTGATACACTACTTAACTGGGTTATGAGAGACAAAATAAACGTAACTGGTCATGGTGCTGAGACTATTGCACAATTTGCGCGGGAAAAGTTGACTTTGGGGCGGTCTGCCATCTAGTGAAACGTGCGACACGTTTACTACTTATGCAAAACAATATTTTTATAGTAATACTGTTTAATATTCTTAGGGAATAGATTATGGCCATTAGTAAAATTTTTGTCGATGCAGTAATTTCTTAAAAATCCGAACTGATCGATTATTAAGAATTCGTGCAGGAGTTTTAAAAGGTATGGTGAAATGTTTTTTACTTGGACTTAAACTAATAACTCTGAGAATATTATTATTAAATTTCATTTTAAGAGTAGTTTAATATTTGTTTAAATTTATTTTTGTTGTATGTGAAATGGGCTATGTAGCTTTTAAGAGTTATATTTGGTTATTAAGTAGTATGTATGCAGGTAATAATTTATTTTGATGAATACAATAATTTTTACTGTAATCGTCAATACAATATTATACATCACAGTATTAAAAATAACAATGCAAATTGTAACAAGAATTATTATAATATAATTCGCAGCAATAAGTAGAAATAGTAACAATAATTTTAATAATGTGTGACAGTACAAATCATAATAATGACCAGAACAATGTAATTTGCAATAGTACAACTTATAACAGCAATAATAACAATGAAATTAATAATAGTACAAATTATAATAATAACTATAGCAATGTACTTTATAATAGTACAAATTATATAAATAAATTATAAAAATGTAAACTACAATAGTAAAAATTACTTTCATACTGAATTTATCAAAATTTATAAAAATAATTGGTTGCGCTGTTTTATTTTATGTAGAAAATATTTCTTATTATTATAATAATATACCATCTTATTTTTTACATTATATTGTACATTGCATATATTATCCTCCCAATTCATGTAAACATTTTATGTGTAACATTGCATGTTATGTATGTAGTATAAGTTACATCATCAATTAATAAATAAATATATTATGCTATGTATACTTGAATTTTCTTTTGGTTTACCAAATCATAAACTAAAATAGCAGAATATTTTACATATTTTAAACTAACAACTCCACTCTATAGTCAACCAACCAGATCTATTTACGAATATAAAAGTAGTATCTGACCGCCATATTGTAATTCTTATATCAACGATATAAAGAGAGGATAACTCGACTTGGATTTCCAAGACTTGCTGCCAAACATAGTGGTCGTTCTATACATCATTTGATTCTCAGAACTGTGACGTAATTGTTAAGAATTCAAATCTTCAAATGCGAAGTTTGATATCGCGTTCGTAAGTAAAATAGACAGAGGTTTTATACCTTATTCTGCAATCATCCAATTAGTCTCTCTAAACGTATCTTCAAGATGTCCAAGAAATTACTCTTTGTTACTTGCTGAACAGCAACATATGGTTATTTTAAGGGTATAAATCGGACGACTACACTAATTCCATTAAATTATCCATCAAAATATCAATTTGATGAATCAATTTATAATATTCTTTATGCTGTAGTATTCCAATATGTAGTATTTCAATATTCCAGAGTATAAAACTCTCACGGTTCAAATGTTGACTTTCAGAATCCTTAAGTTCTAAAATTCCGAAATTACAAATCCTTAAAATCCCCAGATTCCATGGTACCAAAACTCCAACATTTCAAATTTCCATAATTTCACAAAGATTTTAAAATTTGTAAAGTTCGAAAATATTAACAATTTCAAAGTTCCAAGGCACCAAAGTCCCAACGTTTCAAATTTCCAAAATCTCAGTGTTCAAAAATTTGATACTTCCAAAATCTCAAAATTCCAAAGTCTGTAAGTACCAAAATTTCTTAAATACAAATATTCTAAAAATTCTAAACTTTCAAACTCAGGGGATTTGGGGATTTAGGGATTTGGAGATTTGAAAATTTGGAAATCTTAGAATTTGGGGATTTAGAGATTTGGGGATTTAGGAATTTGGGGATTTAGGGATTTGGGGGTTTAGGGATTTGGGGATTTAGGGATTTGGGGATTTAGGGATTTGGGGATTTAGGGATTTCGGTATTTAGGGATTTAGGGATTTGGGGATTTGGGGTTTGGACATTTTAAAATTTGGAAATTTTAGAATTTGCAGATTTAGAGATTTGGGGATTTAGGAATTTGGGAATTTAGGGATTTAGAGATTTAGAGATTTAGAGATTTGGGTATTTAGGGATTTGGGTATTTAGGGATTTGGGGATTTAGAAATTTGGGGATTTAGGGATTTGGACATTTTAACTCAAACGTAGATCACCCTCCTCGTTAACCCTTGCTCAAACCTATCAAATTCACAAGTTTCTTACCATTTAAAAATAAACAAAGAAACCAACATTCTTTCATAAAAATTCCTAAAAATTTGAAAAGCGATTCTATTATTCTATATAAACTAAATTTAAATCGCGAATCTTCTTTGAAGCGCACCCTTCAGCGCTGTCTTTAAAAGAAAAAAATATAAGTAAATCAATCGATTCTTAAGTACCTTTGATTTCTGTTTTTGTTGATAGTCAAACATTACGTGAAAGAGGATCGGAATCGGTGACTTTGAAACGTTCCTAGCTAGTTACGAAACGGGTCTTCTTACCTTGTGTAGCGTCGCATTATACGTTTATAGGAGAGGGTCGGTATAGAACCATTCGCGCGCGTAAGAGGTTGGTTACATGAGCGTGTAAACATTTCGCTTACGACGAACGGTTTATACATTGCGTTATGCGCACCTCTCCCGGTGCCTTAAACCTCGAATTACGTAAGCGATGCCGTTTGAAGTTTATGTAACGTCATGCCACGTTACCGACAAAATCAGACGTCGTCGCCGTCCAACGAGAAGCAGCGTCAGAAATAAGACCTACTTCTGCGCTTCGATTGGCCGCCATTTTAATGGTACGTGCCGCCATCTTGTTGTCAGGTTTTGTGATACCTAACCAAGTATTGGTGACTAGATACATATATTGGCGAAATTTTAGGTAAAATTTTATAAAATGTCATGCTTTGATATTGATAAAATTGAGCAAATAAGCTCTTTTTGCAAAAGAAGAAGTTTTTGACGGCACGAAAGAAAATTTGTTGTCATTCTTATGTCATTCCCTATATCATTGACGAGATACAGTATAGTGTACGAATTTTTGTGAACACGTAATCCGCATTTTCAGACCCTTGAAATATATTGCAAATCAATATTAATAAGTATATACTGTATTATTTAATAAAATTAATATTAATTGAATTTTTACGAAAGTGGAGCAAGTGAGGTGAACTGGAAAATGGAAGAGGTGAGCTACACACTTTTGAAACGGTAATTTAATTAGTTCTCAGGTTCTACCCCTAGATAGCGATGGACAAGACAGAAACGTGGTGATCATCAGAGTCGCTGGTCAAGAAGAGTTCTGCTATCATAGCCGTCGGTCAAGAAGAGTTATACTATCATAGCCATCGGTCAAGAAGAGTTCTGTTATCATAGCCGTCGACCAAGAAGAGTTCTATTATCATAGTTATCGGTTAAGAAGATTTCTGTTATCATAGCCGTCAATCAATAAGAGTTCTGTTATCATAGCCGTCGGTCAAGAAGAGTTCTGTTATCATAGCCGGCCGTCGAGAAAAGTTCTCTTTGCAATTCTCAACGAATAATCAATGTTTAAAGCAATCATCGTTTGATCGTATTCAACTTTATTGTAAAAGCAAAATCGTTTACTATTCATTTTATAATTGAACATTCATTCAAGAACATGTATTTAAATTAAATACAAAATCAATTTGAATGAAATTAGTTATTTTTGTGAAACTTCAAACGTTAATCGCTTATTTCTACCCCTAGATGGCTAAACATGTCGAGATCTGTAGACAAAGTCAATTTGCAAATAAATTATAATTTTATATCAAACATCTTTTGTTGCAGAATTATATCTTTTTGCAAATAGTTAGAAGCGAGACATCATTGAGAAAGCATTTAAAATATTAATCATCCAATTAATTAATTTGCAATTAGAATTTAAACGTGTATGCGTTGAAAAAATTAATTTGACTAATTTAAATTATAAAAAGAAGATAAATTTAGTAAATAAAAAATGTTTAATTAAAATACACGTCACAGGTCCATAAAATGCAATTTTAAAAATTAATTAATTTATTCATTTAGCTGGAGCATAAGTAGTATTATTAATTTGTTCTCAAATATAGCAATATTTGGTACGCAAATATTTGTTAATTTAATTTATAATATTGGCTTGGGGTGTTCCATTTCTGTACACAATGAGGAGATTAAAAATGAGATATATTTAGTGAATTTATAATGAATATTAAAAATGCGTGAAAGTTGATTTAATGAAATGACAGAATGAAATAATAATAATTTCTAATAATGAAATGCAGTAACAAAAAGAGGAAAGAATACTAATAGATTAATCATTGTTCCACTTGTGAAGTAATTAAAACTGCGAAATTAATTGTTTTGTATAAAAGTTTGATAAACAATATATGACGTCTTTAACATCTATGTAAAAATGCATCCCACTGTATTTTTAATTAATATTACAAAAATTAATGAGTATGGTTAATGAAAATTAATCAAATTTAGAGAATTATGTGAAATTACAATCATCTCATATTATGTATATTCAGACTATAACATATATTAGGTAGCTTCCTATAAATCTGTACTAAATTTATTTCAGTAGTAAAACTAATAGAATTTACCTAATACTAATAAAATAAATAAAAACTGATACTAATACAATTTACCTTTATTCTTCAATTGAAGCATACTTTTTTCTTCGTTTCAATTAATACTCATTCATTCATCTCTTACATCTCCAGTTTTTCAGATATCCCATATTCCTAATTTTTATTAAATATCCTCTCGAAATTTTTACCCAAAAAGAACGATTTCCCGTAATGAATACCCTTTCACTTGTATAAATACCCCATTACCCGATCAAACGACTAATTCATCGAATATCGAATAATTCATACAACCATATTGGCAGCATTACTTTTTCATCTCCAATTTGCACGTATGACGAAACATTACGAAAGCAAATTCAAACATGATTTATATCGCAGTATTAAAGTGTCACAGGAAAATAATATGAAATATTCTCCTATCTAAAAAAAAGCAGAGTATAAACACAGAGAACTTGAAGTACTTGGTTGCCATTTGTTTTGCGCTGCAAGAAGAAAGGGCTGTTATTGAATAGTTTTTTTCGTTAACAAATACGCTTTGAAAGGACACAAAGACACAACACAGAGCCAAATTGGAACAGTGGAAGCTTTTAATCGCAAAAACTCCTTTTAAAGATTTACGGTATTTCGTGCTTCGTGTTCGGATATCAAAAGATCTGGAACAAATTCAGGTATTTGATGAATATTTGAATCTCCAATATATCTGAAAAATAAAATAACGTCTATTTTTCTGTAGTTCTCTTTCTCTATGCATACAGAGAAAATGTTAATTTTAATGCACTTACTTAACAATTTTAATCTTTAGTTTATGAATGATTTGTTTATGAGTTTGAGAATTTTAGAATTTGGGGATTTGAAAATTTGGAAGTCTTAAAATTTGGGGATTTAGGAATTTGGGGATTTAGGGATTTGGGGATTTAGGGATCTGGGGATTTGGGAATTTAGGGATTTGGAAGTTTGAAAATTTGGAAATCTTAGAATTTGAGGATTTAGAGATTTGGGGATTTAGGAATTTGGGGATTTAGGGATTTAGGGATTTAGGGATTTGGGGATTTAGGCATTTGGAAATTTAGGCATTTGGGGATTTGAAAATTTGGAAATCTTAGAATTTGGGGATTCAGGGACTTGAGGATTTGAGAAATTGGGAATTTGGAAATTTAAGAATTTGGAGATTTGAGGATTTAAGGATTTAAGGATTTGAGGATTTGAGGATTTGATGATTTGAGAATTTGAGAATTTGGAAATTTGGTAACTTAAGAATTTGGAAATTTGGGAATTTGGAGATTTTAGAGTATAGGCTTTTGATAATTACAAAATTTTCCATATTTACGAAATCTGAAAATAAAAAAAAATGCAAATTAAAAATTGCAAAATATGAAAATTCGAAAATGTGGTCACTCGAAAATTTCAAAACTTCAAAACCCGAAAACACTCAGAAAATTAAAGAATTTAAAAAATTAAAAAATCATCAGTATTATCAAATTTGATAACATACAAAATTGGCATCTTAAAAATTTGACAGTATCAATATAATTTAAAAATGGAGTTGGAAATTGGACAATACGAAAATTCAATAACTGAAGAATTCCTAGATCCAAAAATTCGACAACAAAAAAATGTCAAATATTTGAAGATACTCACCGTTATGGCGCGTTTAAATTTCCATGACAACGCGTAGCCTCCATTTGCAGAAGACAGCTACAAAGCGAAGCCGCGAAAGCTCTTAACAAGCAGACCATTGTGGCTAAGCAGCTAATTAATTCTTCGCTGTGCTAATTTACAACAACACCGGCATACGAGTTCGGTGTACACGTAATTAGAGCTCGTTTCGAATAGCACGCTGAAGGTGACAAGGATTTAAGTAAAACAGACCAGCGGGACATTATAAAATCCGTATACTTGCGTACTTTCTACATTTACAGATCAATTATGCGTCGATAAATACAGACAAATTATTTCAATGACGAAGGAAGACTATTTTCATCTACGATCGATTATTTATTTGTATCGGTGGTTTCTAGCAAGTGTAGAATTTTATTTTACGAATGTTCCTTCTTTTGGAGAACACAGTTTCATGGGTTAGTGTTCCTTTTTTAGTCGGAACACTAAAAACTAGCATGACTTTCAAAACGGTAGAAATTGATTAAAAAGTTTGTCGATACATTATTCTATAGTATGTTGAAACAACCAGTGGAACCGAAAACAGTTTTAACCCTTAGAGTACTAGAGACGTACAGGATGTCAACCCACGAGGTCAACCCACGAGTTGGCGCGTGACCCAAAGTAAAGGTTCACCACCGTGAACACTTCCAGTTACATTTCGGCAAATGAGGATAATAATGACGATAACAACTGCTGAACGCAATTCGCACTATTTCTCGAGACGTTCGTCTGTCATTTTCGCCTAATTGGAGAATTTTGGAGTTTGACAAATTGAGAGTTTGGAAATTTGGGAATTTGGACATTTGGGAGTTTGGGAACTGGGTAATTGGGGAATTGAGGATTTGGGAAATTGGAGATTTGGGGAATTGGGGAATTGGGGATTTGGGGAATTGGAGATTTGGGGAATTGGGGAATTGGGGAATTGGGGAATTGGGGATTTGGTGGGAGTTTGGGAGTTTGGGAGTTGGGGATTTGGTGAACTAGAGAATTTGGGAGTTTGGGAGTTTGGGACTTTGAGAGTTTGGGAGTTTGGGAGTTTGGGACTTTGAGAGTTTGGGAGTTTGGGAGTTTGGGACTTTGAGAGTTTGGGACTTTGAGAGTTTGGGAGTTTAGGAACTGAGTAATTGGTCTATCGAAGATTTGGGGAATTGGGTATTTGGAGAATTAAGGAATTTGGGAATTTAGGAATTTGGAAATTTGGGAGTTCGACAACTGGATAATTAGAAAACTGCGAATTTGGAGAATTGGGGAGTAAAATTTTTCTATAGAAAACTTCGAATTTCCAATTAATTCATTATTACATAAAAAGTATGGTCTGCTAGGTACTCTAAAGGTTAAAATTGATCAAAATTAAACAGTTCCAAAATCTTAAGAGTATTTCGAATAATTAAATTCGCACTTTACAATATAGTTGTATATTTTCGAGTACTCAGGTAGTAGAAAAGAACCGAACGACAGTGTACATCTAAAATAAATAAAATGAACGATTAATTTCGCACTTTTAGAGAAATCACAGTGATTTTAGTCTTCGATCTTCACGTTCTCGATGCTTCTTTCTTCCAAGTACCGGCGGTTGGTAATTTTCGATTACTCCGGTCCAGATTACTTCGATTCTTGAAGCATTTTCGACACGTCAGTCGCCAGAATGCCAGCCGAAAGTCGGCTGAGTAAAAAGCGTAGATGAATGGATTTATGGCTGAATTGATCCAACCTGAAATTAATCAGTAAAACCTTGTTAAATCATCAAACTTAAACTTGAACCTAATTATAATTATCATGGATTCTTAATCCATAGTTCTGAACACAATATACTCTTGTTATATTGCCATTTTATATGCGAATTTTTAAACTAATTTTAAAAATTGTCAAACTAATGTTAAACTAATTTTTATAAATTGTAAACAAATTTTACTAATTGTTAAAGAATGTTAAACTAATTTTAAATGTAATTCTATTAAATTAATTTTAAATACAATTCTATTAAACTAATTTTACATATAATTGTATTGAACCAAAATTTAAATATAATGTTGTTAAACTAATTTTAAATATAATTCTATTAAAATAATTTTAAACGTAACTTTATTGAACTAATCCTGAATATAACTGTATTGCACGAATTCTAAATATAACTCTATCATACTAATTTTAAATACATGTCACTATATTAAACTTCATATAATTTTATTAACACTTTAATGGCCGCCTACGTAGTCATGTCGTCAAGCAATATTTCTAAAGATTTAATTTATGAAAACTTTGTGTAAATTCATGAAATAATTCAACGTATGCGAACATACAATTACGACACATTTAATACAACAAATTTAATTTTCTTCTTTGTGAGATAATTATTAAAGCACCATCTACGTTCATCAATCGTCACGCACGCGTGAGCGGCCATTAAAGTGTTAACCTAAAAAGTACAATTCTATTTCCTTTTTCTATAATTCAATTTATTATCACTTTTAAAAATCTCCTATTAGTGGAAATATAACGAGAGTCTACTGTAACATTCATTCACAAATTGTCAATTTTTATTTAGTATTATTTCTAATCAAATTATGATAAAACCTACAAAACATTGAATTAATTAAAATTAAAAGCTAATAATTTTTTTTACATTGAAAAATCTAATTGATATGAATAATTTAAATATTAAAATTCTGTAGTATTATAAATTTATTAAATATCACAATTATTTAAATATTAAATATTAAAAAAAAATTGTCCTCCTAGATGAACACTTCTCATTATCATTCCTTGATATTTAAATTATTCCAAGCATCATTTTTCGATGCAAAAAGCATCTTCCGTTTTTAATTTTAATTAAAGTAACGCTGTATACATTTTACCAAGTTCGGGTCACGATTAACCCAGCTTTGCCGTTCAAGATTTAAACTCGAGTAATTAAAGTTTCGAAGTTTCCGTACTTGCTTTTGAAAGATAAAAAAGAAATGACGATGAAACAGGTATTCAATTTTATCTTGGGATCGCTATGGAAAACGAAAGTTAACTTAATCTTATAAGTTATAAACGGAAACACAATTACAGATAACGAATGTGAAGACGCACGCGTGGAAGTTCATGCTGCGGTTTTAATCCCACACATTATACGGTTGTTTGTTTATAATTTAATGTTTTTACGACGCTAGTGTGCCGTTTGTCCCATTTAAATTTTCATTAAACTGCCGCGTGCAACTTTAAAAATACAATTTCATTTTCTTTATACATACAGACGCGTAAAATTTTCACTCCATTTTCTATAAAATTGTTGTTATGATTAAAATGATTGAAATTAATCAATTTTTGTCGAAATATAAATTAATGTAAATAGTGAGACATAATATTAGAATGTTGAATGTTACTGTTTGGGGGATTTGAGAATTTGAGAATTTGGGAGTTTGGGTGTTTGGGAATTTGGGAATTTGGGAATTTGGGTATTTGGGAATTTGGGAATTTGGGAAATTCAGATTTTGGGGATTTGAGAATTTGGGGATCTAAGAATTTGGGGTTTGAGAATTCGGGGATTCGAGAATTTGGGAATTTGAGAATTTGGGAGTTTGGGAATTTGGGAATTTGGGAATTTGGGGATTTGAGAATTTGGGGATTAGAGAATTTAGGGATTCGAGAATTTGGGAATTTGAGAATTTGGGAGTTTGGGAATTTGGGAATTTGGAAATTTGGGTATTTGGGAATTTGGGAAATTGAGAATTTGGGGATTTGAGAATTTGGAGATCTAAGAATTTGGGGATTAGAGAATTTGGGGATTCGAGAATTTGGGAGTTTGGGAATTTGGGAATTTGGGAATTTGGGTATTTGGGAATTTGGGAAATTGAGAATTTGGGGATTTGAGAATTTGGGGATTCGAGAATTTGGGAATTTGGGAGTTTGGGAATTTGGAAATTTGGAAATTTGGGAAATTTGGGAAATTCGGGAAATCAGGGATTAGGGAATTTAGGTATTTGGTAATGTGAGAATTTGGAAATGTGGGAATTTGGTGTTTTGGAAATTTGAGAATATGGGAACTAAAAATTAGAAAATATGAAAATTTAAAAACGTGGTAATTTGAAAATTTCAAAACTGCAAAATGTGAAAAGACTTAGAAAACGAAAGAATTTAAAAATGAAAAAACTAGCAGTATTTGAGAACTTGATAACATACAAACTTAGTAATTTAAGAATTCAACAATATCAAGATACAGATAATTTGAAAATAAAGCTAGAAATTCGACAACACAAAAATTTGATAATTTGAAAATTCCTTAAGACTACAAAAAATATTTCTGTAACAATAAACTACTTAAGAAGATAATACCCAGATCCCTGACAACCTTCCCAACACATAGAAATATGAACATAGCTACCTAGCCAAGTGAGTGCCGGCATAAGGATATCCGGTGGCGCCATGGGCATAAAAGGAGTGGCCAAGTACAGAATGAAAAAGGGTAGCCAACAAGCTACAAATCCACCTACGACCACTGCCAAAGTGCCAGCTGTTTTTGTTTCCCTCGCAACTCTGTTAATGCAGCTCTGCTGATGACTGCGTACTATTCCGGGCTTCTTGCTGGTCGTCGAAGGTTCCACTTCGTCAGAGCCCCTGTCATAAGTCACACTTCCGGTCACACATTCCGTTCTTCGTACTCTGATACTCTTCGCTCGTTCGATCTGCAATCATCGCTAATTTGAATGCGTGCGCGCGGTTAATTAACTATCGAATGGCGGAGCCGAATCGAGACAATGGCGCACAGACTACAATCGGGACTTCAAAGGACAATTGTACAAAGACGAAATGAGGTACTTTTTACTGCCATATTTGAACTGTTGAAAATTACGTCCGGTAGTATTTCTTCGTTTCAACTTAAAAAAATTTAAATGTTATTAAAAATTTTCATGATAGTTATATTTATTTTTTGTTAGAATTTTATTTGTAATATAATGTGCATCTTAAGGGGATGATGTGAGAGTACATATGAGAGTTAGTGATGTATAGCACAATTTTTAGGTTAATTCAGAAATTTTTACATTTGAAAGTTTGCAATTAATTTGTAGTACGTGTTTGGAAAAGGGGATCGTTGACATAGTTCAATTGTTTAATAGTAATTTAACGAGTTACCCTGTTATGTAAATTATATTATTAGTAATTGTGCATTTTTTGTATTTGGGTAGTTCTTTTTATTTTTCTTTGTTCCCTAAGATTTTTCATAGTTTGAACTTTATCAATCCTATGAATGTGACTCCACATTTTTCTTAAAAATAATTCAACTAAATTGTTTGGATTTTGTACAGCTTTATGTAACTTAGCTTAACATTTACTAATACGTCAATTTAATTGTACACAATTCATTCTTAACGTACTACGAATTATTATTTAAAAAATGGTGGTCACAATTTTCTACCGGAAGCTCAGGTTGAAACAACGAAGGGTTATATTTACAAACTGTACACATCACATCTTTTCACTTATTAAACATCCAAAAAATTCATTCACTCAAAAATTCTTTAATATGAACTCTCAATTTTAATTGACTTATTTATTATAACCTCAAAAATTTTAATATCGATTTTAAAATATACGAATGATTGAAAAGAAGGAGTCAACAATTCATAAGAATGTTCAGTGTTTATTCAAGGAAGTAATAGTCAGTTAGATAATAACTTTCCCCTACAAATATTTTTCATTTCATTAAAGAAGTTCCATCGAATGAAATCCCCTTGAGAAATTTTAATAATGAGTCGAGGAGAAATAAAAGTTAGTATTCGCTCATGTACATCGACTTTTATTAAAGTCATTGTGCATACTTTTATCTCGAGGAAGAAATAACTGAATGTATGAACAGATGCTGGTTTATTAAGTTGGCTTCAATATGAGACCTGTTATGTATGATTGCTTTCGTCGCACGGAGGAATGTCTGTTTACATGGAAGAAATTATGAGTTCATATTTGTATATTATTAGAAATTCAAAAATTTAGAAATGTAGAAGTTTAGGAATTTAGAAATTTGAAATTTAACAGTTTAGTACTTTTTAAAATTGAAGAAAAATTTGATTTTTTTCTCACAATAAAATCATATAAATCAAAGTAGAATACAATATAGATATCAAAAGCAGTATTGAATTGAATATGTTAAATGTGCACATAAATACATATTCATGAATTTCGCATTTAGCAGTAGCAAAGCCTTCGAACGGTGCCGTCTTAACAGGTTTATAAGCATTAGTATCAATGGATTCAAATTGCCAATCGATTTCTCATTTACACGAGCTCCTCGTTCTTTCCATTCAAACTAAAATCTGTGTTCGATTCATTCCAGCAGTCAATGAATCAGCTGGAATTTCAAATAGAACTGTGCTCCTCCATTTAAGTAAAAAAAAAGTTTCTCGATACTTCTGAGAAAATATCTGTGCACAAAATGTAGTCTTATATAGATACAATTTTTGCTTGCATTTACATTCATAAATTATTAATGAATTTGGAATTTGGGGAATTTGAGATGTGGGGAATTTGGGATTTGTGGAATTTGGAATTTTGGGAATTTTTGATTTGGGGAATTTTGGATTTGGAGAATTTGGGATTTGGGGAATTTGGAATTTGGGGAATTTTTTATTTGGGGAATTTTGGATTTGGAGAATTTGGGATTTGAGGAATTTGGAATTTGGGGAATTTGGAATTTGGGGAATTTGGAATTTGGCGAATTTAGAATTTGGGGAATTTGGGATTTTGGAAGTTTGGAGAATTTGAGAATTTTGTGGAATTTGGGCAATTTAGGAATTTGGAAATTTGGAAATTTGAAAATTTGAAAATTTGAGTAATAAAACTCTTGCTAGCCAACATTTCAAAATATAGAAATTTGCAAGTATAAAAACTCAAAACCTTGAAAATTATACCAATTGAAAATTTGAAAACCCCATTCACATAGAATTAATTAAAGCAGCAACAAAAAGACCATTTTAACCTTATGCGTCCCAATCATTCCACCTTCACACTAATCAACCAACATTCACACAATGTTCAAAAGAAAAACATTCCACCACATTTCCCCTTATTTAGTTTCCAATACCCAAAGTTATCTCCTGACCGTACATCAAACAAAAATAATAAAATGTTTGAAAATAATCTTACCAAAACATTTCTTCGTGGTCGCGTATTTTCGCTCTCGGTGGCTTCGAGGTTTCTATGTCGGCTGGCGATCACACAGGATATCCGCCCGTATACGTAAAGCATTACCAGCATGGGCAAAAAAAACGAACCCATAGCGGAAAATATCACGTACGAGGAGTCCATATTGTACGAGCATTTTTTACTGTCACGATTTGTCGCCCGTGGAAAGCATCCTAGTAAAGGTGGACTTGTTATAGCACCAGCTAACACCCATACAGCCACAATCATCAAACCAGCTAATCTTTTGCTTCGCCGTCGTCGACTGTATATCAACGGTTGAGTTACGGCTAGGTACCTTCGAAGGAAAATAAATCTGCTTTTAGATATTTTATTTCTGTAGGAAATATTTTATAGAAAATGTTCGATTTTGCAATAGAGAGAAAAATTTGGACGTATTTTAAAAAATGGAGAGGTAAATATTGTTAGTGGTTGGTTGATGAGATTGAGTGAGGATAACTGATTTAGTGGTTCATGTTAATATCAACATGTTAGTATCAACTAGCAGATATTATTCAATTTTTGTGATTTCAGTTATTTAAACTTCAGTGTTTGGGAATTTGAGAGTGAAATGTTGGGTTCTTTCAGGATTTGATAATGAAGAAATTTGATAAGGGCTGCAATGATATATGAGTTTGGTAATTTCAGAATTTATGGAGTTAGGAATTTGTGATTTGAGAATTCCATAATGTACAAATTTTGGTAATTTCAGAATTTATGAATATAAGAATTTGATAATTTGAGAATTTGTGGAATTAGATATTTGTTAACTTGAAAATTTGACAATAGAAAAGTTTGATAATTTGAGAATTTTACAGTACAGGGTGTTTCACGACTAGTGTAGCACCGTGAAATGGGGAGTAGCTGACGTACGGACCAATCAGAACGCGAGGACTACGCCCACTCAGCCATTAGGTTGAAAGCTGTCGCTCTCGCGTCTGCGCATGCGTAATCCTCGCGCTCTGATTGGACCGTACGTTGGCTACTCCCCATTTCACGGTCCTACACTACTTGTGAGTCTTCCTGTATAGACATTTACTATCTCGAGAGTTTAATGGCATAAAAATTTGAAAGTTTGAAAATTTATTAGATTCAGAAATGTGGTAATTTGTGAATTCAATAATTTGCCAATTTCTAAATTTTAATATTTGATAATTTACAAATCTGACAATATAAAAATTTGTTAATATCAGAATTTGTAAATTTTAAAATTCAGTTTAACAGTCCAACAAACTTGAAAATTAAAAAATGTTAAATATATGTAACATTATCCTTTCTTTCCAAAGAAGGCCCAAAGAAAAAAATTTAACAAGAACATTTCCTTTCACGCGTTCGAATAATAAATCACGAATCATTTATAACAATCAGCTCCTTTAACCTTTCCTCCACAAAACGAATGTTACAGATTTCCCATAAATATCTTGTACCGAAATTTCTGAAACCTAAAAGCCTATTTACAACGGTTTGTCCCGTTCTCGAAATCGTGGCACGTAAACGAAACGAGATTACCTTCGGTGATATTTTCCTATGCGCCATGTATAGAACGTCCTATCGAATTTCACGAGTACAAATTTCCCGTTTAGTTGACGAGAACGTTGGAGAAAGAAGATCGTGCGAACTTTAAAGGAGATTTTCTGTTAACAAGAAGAAAACGCGGTTTTATTACAAATTAACTGGCAGATCACGTATGAGGTTTTTTCCTGTATACGCGCTTTGTATCGATCTATGCTTGAGGATACGTTGCTAGGTCATGGTTGGAAATTAAAAGCACCTCTGGCAAATTTTTATGTTCCATTTCAATTTTGCTTACCTATCTAGTTGAAAATATTTTATGGATTCCTAGGTGAAAATATTTTATGGATTCCTAGGTGAAAATATTTGCTGGATTTTTATTTGAAAACGATGGGTGATGAGGATTCAATACATTACTATTTTAGCGTGAAGAACATATGTATACATATAGTTGTAATGTAGAAGTAGTGAAATAGTGTAGACAATTTATACTTTCAAGTACTAGGTTTGATATAGTATAGACAATTTATATTTTCCAACAACAAGTTTGAAGTAGTATACATAATTTACATTTTCAAGTAGTAGATTTGAAACAGTGTAGACAATTTATATTTTCAAATAGTTAATTTGAAATAGTGTAGACAATTTATACTTTCAAATACTAGGTTTGATATAATATTGACAATTTATATTTTCCAACAACAGGTTTGAAGTAGTATACACAATTTACATTTTCAAGTAGTAGATTTGAAATAGTGTAGACAATTTATACTTTCAAATACTAGGTTTGATATAATAAGGACAATTTATATTATCCAACAACAGGTTTGAAGTAGTATACACAATTTACATTTTCAAGTAGTAGATTTGAAATAGTGTAGACAATTTATACTTTCAAATATTAAATTTGAAATAGTGTAGACAATTTACATTTTCAAATAGTAAATTTGAACGAGTATAAATAATTTCATATATCAAAGTAACTATAAATCTACAAAAATCATTTAATTTATAACATTCTATATAATAACGTAAACCTAACCTAACCTCTTACCTACTTTTCCAAAATGTATATTTCACTCCATAACAACACTACAACGTGCATTACAACCTTTTCACTAAATATTCAATTGTAATCACAGTTAAAATATATCAAAATCTCGATGTAAATCACATGAGCTCATTTCCATATTAATTTGTAATTTCCTGTCAATTCTATGAACATTTCGAGGATGTGACATGAAACTTTAGATTTTAACGCCATGTTGCTAATTCAGAACACCGAAGATTAATGTAGTTTGGAATATTCTGAAGCATACCGATGCTTTTGTTTCGAGAGTAATAGCTAATGTCAAAAGAAGAGAAGGGTGGATGCAGTGTTTCGTATGCGAAATGTGGGTACTGTGTGAATGTGCTGATTATGCCTCCGGAAACACTTGCTTCAACTGCGGGTTAATTTTAAGACGCAGAGCTAGCGTTTACATAAGATATTTTTTTACATCTAGGTTATGAAAGAAAATATTCTCATTTCCTTTTCTTGATTTTGTAAAATAACTTGATTTTGTTGAAGTTTTTTAATTTCCTAAAACGATATGATTTTATTAAAGTTTCTTAATTTCATAAAATGATATAATTTTATTAAAGTCTTTTAATTTTATAAAATATGATTTTATCAAAGTATTTTAATTTCATGAAATGAAGGTAAAATATCGATTTTCAAAATTACTTACTCGGTAACAAAATTAATTTATATCACCTTTCAGTTTGATATTTCAAAGTTTCGAATACTTCTTATTTTTCATTACTAATAAGAACGCGAAATAAAATTATTTATTGAAGTAAATGTACCCATTAGCGATGATGTCCTCATTAGTGACAACTGTTTATTTCGTTTCATTAAAAAACAATAATTAAAATCATCTGTTGGTCGAAACTTTAAAACGCAGTTGCAAGTATTTTATTTAGTTCTTCAAATATTATTTTGTTACTAAGAATACAAACAAATTTAACAAAATTTAAGTAACAAATGCAATTATAGATTTTTATAAAATAAGTTATGGAACACATATGCAATTTAGGTGGAGTTGTATAGAAACTTAGAGCAGGTACCATTGAATGATCACTATATTATGTAAAAATCTGTATATTTTTATAAAAATATGTATTTTTAAATCATTTATTTTTGTATACCTAAGATATGCATTTTTATTTATTGCTGTTTATTGTAATTTTTTATTTGTCTTAATGCTATTTGCTATTTACACTGTAATTTCTCTGCCATTTCAATAATATATATCTACCAAATATGAGACAGCACTTATGTTTAATTTAATTTTATTTAGCATTTTAAACAAAGTTTTATATATTTACTGTAAAGGCACAAAATTAGCTTAACGTCAACACGACCATTTTTCATCACGAAAAAATAGAGGTGACACTAGATACGAGAATCGATGAAACATCAATTGTCTCTTTCCGCGGTTCGACAACTCAATTCTCGTTTTTTCCTGTACATCAAAGGCTACTATCAGAATTCGCAATAAAATTGATATTAAAAACATTGTTTGGAAGGAAATACTCTAAAAATGGTTTCTTTCTCTTGAAAATCCTCAAATCTATTATTTACAATTTTATTAATAATTGTGTCAAGTATATTATTACTAACAAACTTTATCTTTAAAAAATTGCACATATAGCATGTAAGTAAATTGTAACATAAAAAATTGTAACACCTAAGGAAATTGTAACATAAAAAATTGTAATACCTAAGGAAATTGTAACATAAAAAATTGTTATACCTAAGAAAATTGTAACATAAAAAATTGTAACACCTAAGGAAATTGTAACATAAAAAATTGTAATACCTAAGGAAATTGTAACATATAAGGAATTTGTAACATGTGTTGAAAAACACATGTAATAAGCAGACTTTCGCAATACAAAAGACTTGTTGATCAAAAGGATATATTGTCAGCTCCAACAATTGTTTCATTAGACAGTGTAATAGCAGTGTAACGAGAGTATATCTTTGATCTTCAGTGCAACAGTTATTTACGTCTAGCTTATAAACAATTATGTATAAACTTACCTGTCTATAGATATGGCGCATAATGACAGAATACTGGCAGTACAAAGAAGAATGTCAAGGGAGACCCACGAGTCGCAGAGTACTTCGCCCAACTCCCAAGTACCACCTGTGAGCTTCGACAAATTTGTTCGATTAAACTAGTGTGTTGCTTAAGTCATAAATCCCTAAGTGAACTAACCAGTGTCCCCATGTTTCAATATTTTGTACCCCTCCAAGGGATTGCCTACTTCCAATTATTTTTTAATTTTTTTTGAAGCAGGGGTGAATGGATAGTAGAGACTCTGAATGGATACGGAAATGATACAAAGAATGGATACGAATGTTGATGAAACAATGGATAGGGATAGAGAAGAACAAAGGAAAAAGAAATGGGAAAGATATATTTAAATGTACATATTTAAAGATATATTTAAACACTTAATATTTGTAATTAATTAAACAGTTAATATTTGTTCGTTTCCTTCGTTATTGTACTTTGCTTATCATGATTACTTTTTATTAAGTGATGCTGTTTTATTGTTCAAAAAATAATTATTGTTTGTAATTTCATTTGAGACGTCGTATATTTTCTGCTACATGGAGGACACTGATTTGAGGTTATGTTTTATGCAATTTGTTCATGATTTCTTTTTTTGGTATCAATTTTACCAGATATAAGTAGATCCTTAAAAAATTCTCTTTCAACGTTAATATTCTTTACTATCAATTTCCCCTAAATAATATCCTTTAATAAATTTTAATTTCTTTTTACATTTTTGAGGTTCATTTTTGTCTCAAGTTGAGATAATTACCCAGAGATTTCAGAGGTAATTCCTTCATTTTTGTTACTTTATGTTTTGTTTCCTAAATTGATAGCAATATAGCTTATCATTGGTCATCTTCAATTAATATATTTATTAATGAAAAAACTATTGATATTAAAAGTATAAAATGTATACTTAAAAATGTTTTAATTTTGAGTTAAATATCTCACATACGGAAAAGTAAATTTTAGAAACCTGTGGTCTACCATAGTTAACCCACTTCTTTATGCAGATTTGCAAGGCTTCGGTATCCAAGGGTTAAACACAAAAGACTTCGTATTTCAAAGCAATCGCGGTTTGCATCGCAGTGCAACATCTAATTTGCGTTACAGATTCTTTTTGTGCGTTTCCCTCGTTCTATTTTAATCTGTAAATGGATGTATCCGAGGAATTGAGCCTCAAGGATTGGAAGTGGAGATGTCGAGACCGCTTCAGAGCCATATTTATTTTCCGTTAGATCGAATCGAAAAACACGAGAAATAATAAACTAGAGAAACCATAAAATAAAGATTGCTCTGTATGCAGGTACTCGATGTTGCTATTTGAAACGATTTAACGAACAATTTGGTGAAGTGGGCGCGTTATATCAGATTCAGCCTTAATTGAGCCTCGTTAATTGCACCGAATGCTTAAGCTCGTCAGCTAAAAAGAAGCTAGAAGTAAATTATTCTCGAGCCAGGAGGGCACTCTAGAGAATATCCTCCGTTCGTTATTTTCATTGATATTCCTTCATGGTGTGTTTCATTTACTAACACATCTTTCGGACCATTATGTTATTTTCTCCATAAAACTTGCGGACCAAATTGATAGTGCAAATTATGATTGCTTTCCATTCTTAGCTTTAGATTGCCACGAACAGTTATGGCTAAATTACTTCCTTTTTTATTAAGAATTTTTCTGCAAAATGTATATGGAAATTGTAATACTTTTATTACAAAATATATAATTATTATTACTCTTTCATTTTTCTTCAGAATTGATGTTAGATCAAGACATTAATACATCAAGTCTATTTGTAATTAGGGATTCAAATATTATTATAAACTGTATATTGTTTCTAAACTGCAAATTTTAAATTAAATAGATATATGCAATGTTTGTTAATAATATTTAATTCACTGCAAATATAGATTCAAAATGAAATATATTTGAAGATATCGTGAACTCTGTGAGCGGCCATTTTGGGTCCGTAATCACCGTAAATAAGAAAATGTAACTGAATGCAATGAGAGTCTTAGACTTTAAGAAACGTCTCCACAGGATTTAGTTGATTGGATCGCGTCGTTCATTATGAGTCGTCTCGGCTTCAATCTATATGCAAAATTGCTCTTCGCTTTTCAAGAAGAACGAAGAATCAATGTTGGTAATTGTCACGTGACGTTGTTGAGTCAAGTGGTGAACACATTCGAAAAGCAAATGAGAAATTTACAATTCTTATTTCAAATGGCTGCTGTTTAAATGGCTGTTGTCTGCGTAGCAACAGATGAACTGTCGAGTCATAACTATAAAATATCAAGGTATAACTATTATTTTATCAAATATTATTACTGAAAAGTACTAATATGTATTAATATGAGTATCAAAAAATATAATGAATTAATTATTAAATGGAATACTGTAATTATCATGTATATTGTATAAATTGTATATTGTATATTGTAATTATCACTACAAATTAACAAATACAAAAATTACAACAAGTATTAAATACGAATGTATTTATATTGATATTAGATCAATAATATGTATATCTATTAATTATCAGTTACTAATAATGTATCTATTGTTAGTAAATATTAATATTTGAATACCTATTAACTAAAAACCAACAACTAATAATATTTATTAACTAATCAGTAATAATAGATATAATCAGTAATAATCAGTAATCGATAGCCTTCCAATAGGTATTATCTCATAACCAGTAATCGTTAATATTTCAATACTTCTTAATTAATAATTAATAACCGATAATCTCTCAATATTTATAACCAATAATTCCTAATATTTAAATATCTATTATTATTCAATAACTGCACATCAATGCATATCAACTAAAAACCGATTAAGAATATTTCAATACAAATTAACCGATAATCAATAACAATTTAATAACAATTATCCATTAATAAAGAATAACCAGTACAGTTTGAGTAAGTAATGTCTGACAGCGATTTAATAAATGATTGTAATGGTGATTTTAAATTTACACAACAGCCATAAAACACTGCATTTTGAACGAGTTCAGGCACCGTAAATTTTATCGAGAAATTTCTTTCATTCCTGTGCTGTGGTCCATTATTATCATACGCTGCGATGAACTTCACGAATGCACGAGTATGTGAACTTTATTGACAAATGACTTCCTATTGTTTACATGATTCTGAAGTACGTTTTTATACCTGTAATAGTACTGCTGGCGGCATCACAGCCAGGCCTACCAATAAATCCGCGGCGGCCAAACTGGATACGAAACAATTAGTTACGGATCGAAGACGCCTAGTTGTTATCACTGCGGCGATAACCAGTGTGTTGCCTACCTGTGATAAAACAGAAGGTTCGAATTTTAGTAGGAAATATTCACCACGTTGTCACATTCGCATCGGGTTACTTTTCATGTAAATTGGGATACTTTAGCAATCTAAAGATATTTTAATATATGTGCTTTGGAACAGTAGCAACAATAATTTTCGTAATTGATATATTTAATTGAAATTTTCAGAAACTGTATGCAAATAATTGGCCACAAATTTATGTATTGTTATATAAGAATTGGTTAAGAAAATGGAAGATTCTTGTTTTCCGATGCGAATGTATTACGTGTATAATAAATTTATTATTGCATAGAGAATACATTATACTATTATAATATATTATATATTATATTATTGTATTATGTTATATTATACTAGTTTGGAATACACACTGTTATATTTTATAGAATGAATTATAGTAATTACTGTAATGAATAGTAATGATGTCTGAGCAAATTGCTTAAGTACGAACATAACCTAGTTTCAAGAATTCTCTAACATTTAGATATACATATATTTACTCTCACTTAAAAATTAATTTCACTTTTACTAAAATTATATACCTAAAATAATTAAATAGTAACTTAATAATTTTGTTAATAATTTATTAATTCGAATTAATAATGATACTTAATAATTTTAATAATTCATTAAATAATTAACTACATGTGTATCATATTAAAAAAAAATTAAAATAATATTACAGTTATTAAAAAGATTCAATGAGGAGAAAAATTACTAACTGAAAGAATTTTTCACAATTTAAAAATGACAATCCAAATACCAATAATTAAAAGAACGAAGAAAATATACAGCTCTATTCTAAAAGAATATTTAATTAAGCTACGTCAACATCATCGAATAATTATTTTAAACATTTCACAATGTGATTGGCAGTTTCAAAGATATTCCAAGTTAAAGCTTCAGCTACCTTGGCATAGCTATTGTGTAACCGCTATAAATCTTTCATATAGTTACCGTATAGGTAACACACATATGTATATGTAGTATACGCGTGATTTCGCGTTCTATCGCGCAAAACGTCCGTTTTCGAAACTTGAAGGTAAAATTTCAACTCCATACACAAAGTTTCGAGCACCGTGGGCGACATGCTGTCATAAAATTTGCAATAAAAGACAGAGCAAATACCGCCAGTCAAATCAAATTCATTCGATAATATCAATTCGTATTTCAATACACTTTTCGTGGACATTGATATGAGAAAAATAACAGAAACATTCGAGTACAGTGAAATTATGCGACGTGAGCGAGGAAGATGGCGAGATGCAAAAGTTTCTGCCTTCGGATTGATTTGCAAAAGAAAAATCGAGAACATGTCTTCTTTGATTCACTTTTCTGCGATGGTATAGGATGCGGTAATATTAAATTCTTCAATCAAGCAAATAGCAAATCTTCATCTAACGTGCGCTCGTAAACATATTGCGAAAGTTTGTGGCTTTTTAAAACTTGGCAGACATTTTGAATGTAGGGAAGATTCAGGAAGTGTGCCAAGATCTTAAGGTTAATGCTTATCGAACGATTTTGGGAATTTGGAGTGTGGAAATTTGGGAATTTCAAGGTTTAGGGGTATTTTACAATTTGGAGGTTTTGATACTGGAGAGGGGGGAGGTTTGGCAAATTTAGAGATTGAGGAATTTGGTGAATTTGAAACTTTGGGGGTTGAACAGTTGGAAATTTATAAGAATTTATGAATATGTGAGTATGTGAGTATGTGAATATGTGAGTATGTGAGTATGTGAGTATGTGAATATGTGAATATGTGAATATGTGAATATGTGAATATGTGAATATGTAAACATGTGAATGTGTGAATGTGTGAATATGTGAATATGTGAATGTGTGAATGTGTGAATGTGTGAATATGTGAATATGTGAATATGTGAATATGTAAATATGTGAATATGTGAATATGTGAATATGTGAATATGTGAATATGTGAATATGTGAATATGTGAATATGTGAATATGTGAATATGTGAATATGTGAATATGTGAATATGTGAACATATGAAATTGTGAATATGCGAAATTGTGAATTAATTAAAAAATACTTGAAAAATATGAAAGATCAAAAAATCCTACGATATTCCCCTAATCCCCAAAGCAACAGCTTATCGCTTAATCCAACAGTGACATCATTGCACCAGTGCAGTATTAATCTGAACTACACCCAATGGTCTGATTGTTGCTTACTATAGTGACGATGATTAACATGGTGAACAGTCCCGCTAAAACAAGATCCGTCCAATTCGGCAGGTAATATTCGGTCTGTGTATCTCGTTCAGTGGTCGAAGTGGTACTATTCCATTGATAAACGTCCCCATAGTAACTGGTCGTTTGATTCGCCATGGCGTTTAACCCCGGTCCATCGACGACGATCTCTGCTCAAGAACTTGCGCATTTCCGAGCATCATACAGCAGCTTCCTGCAAGATAAATTTTCACGAGATGATTTTCGAACTGGACCATTGTGAAACGAAGAAGAAGAAGTCTCTTTCTCTGAATTACTTCTTTCACGGCGATCGAACAAGACATTTCCGGGTTTTATGTTGCCTCGATCACTCACGATCGGCAACGTAGGATTACCTTCTATGAAAGAGAACAATGTACACAAGAGGAGGTTCTGAAAGGGTACACCTAAGTATCTCTGTTACCGCAGATGCTCCGAGAAAAATAATATCTCGATGCTGGATGTACAGGGTGCACTTAATAAAATGTACTTTGGGATGTGGTGAGAATTTTAAGAAATTGTGGAGGATGTTAATCTATGTTAACATTTTATATCTACATATTTTTCAATACATGTTTTTTGAAAAATATATTAGCTGGAACCATGTTGGATATACAAGCACTCAATAAATTATATGTTGTCACTGAAAATTATTATATTTGCTATTATGATGTTACTGCAAATTATTATGTGTGCCAGTATATTGCTGCTACAAATTAGTACAATTTTGAGTGCTGTTACTGCAAATATTATTATTTTACAAATTTATATCATCTGCATATATCTAATTTATCATAAAATTTTTAACTTAATAATGTCAGCATGGAGTATTTTTTGCTAATTGTTTATTAGACTTGTTCTATTATTATTTTACATAAACTTCTTCTGCAACCCTCAGTAGAGATAACCATAATTAAAGTCCTTTTCCGAGTTTATAATTTTAATTTCAAGTTGCAAAGTCTCCACAGAGATTTTCTTTTTAAATATGCCTTTCATGTAAAAATATGAAGAGAACAAAAATATTACTCTTTGAATATTATTCCATCAGAATATTATTAAATTTCTTGTACCTTTTATCATACTTCTAAGTAATTTTATCGCAGTTATTTATCTGGAGAATCTCCAAAGAGCCATTCCTCAGTCATGAAATTCCTTAAAAATTGATAAATCGTTCCAGATGAACGATAAGCCAAACAGACGCTCTAAATTCTCAACAATCGTTGAAAATTTCATTGAAAGGAATCATAGCAATCAACACATTTGGAACAACCCATTACAGCGAAAACCAATAGAAAACTATTGATATAAATCACCGGAATGGGATAGATTCCAACATTGTTGGCAATTAATAACTTCGATGGGATCTTAAAGATTTTCCGGGTAAGTTTTCGGCCCAGTTCTTGATTGCGAGACGATAAATTCAAAGGAAAAATCGATGGCTGAATTCAACCAAGCTACACAGCGTTTCTGCTGTTTCCGTTCTACGAACATGTTAAGATCACGATGATAACAGTAAATGGATTCGAAGCAAATAAACAACGAGAGCTCATCGTGTCTTTAGATTAAAATCGCCTCAGGTGAAATAAAATTCTGCGATAAACTGAGTTATAAACAACACTGCAACAATAAAGTGCAGTATAATTAAATTATTTATTCTTTTAAATTTCTCTGTAACTTCATTTATGACTTATTGCAATTTCTTTAAAATTTTTTATAAAACTTGATTTAAAAATATGAGGAAGAAAATTGAACAGATGGATAAATTGTATTTATTGTGTTCCACATCTGCTGTTACATAAAATACTGTACGGATATAACATTTCATATATGTCATATTAACTTCACATAAATAAACTCAATTTTAACTAAATATAATATTAATACAAAACCTTTAACCTCATATCTTTTAATTTCATTTTTTAATTTTTCTTTCGATGGACTTCGTGCTGTAAAAAAATATAGGTTAGAAAATCTTTACTGTCCTTATTTCTGTGCTCAACTTGTTCAAAATTCGGTATAATAAATTTAGTATTCGTGGACAAATGCGCTATTAAATAATTATATATAATATAGCAAAGTAAAAATGTTTACTTAAATAATATTTTCGTTGCATGCAGAAATAAATCAATATGGCGCTATAGCAACATGGCGTATCGAATGTCTACTGTTATACAGTAATGGTATCCCGTAATAAAACACATCGTAAAACATGGTAAAAGATAAAAATCGTAAGGGAAGTTCGCGTGAAAGCAAATCGAAAATAATAATAAAAACAATAGAAAACAAAAGCGCAGGGACGACAAAGAAATAAATGCAACATGAATAGTGAGTGCTATATCACGTTTTACGTTTATAGCAATTCACAGGCAAAGTATTTTCCGTTGTTGGATGATAATGTTCTGGTAGTAATGCGTTATTTTTTACGTCGTGAAAACGTTATCCCATACAGAAGAGCTCGCGAGTTATCCACGACCTACATCTACACTCGTAGATACTTTTACCAAATGCACTTCCCGAAGGAAATACAGAAAATCTTCAAATTGTCTGGCGAATCACGAAGTATAATTACTAAATGGACAATTGTGGAGAGAAAGAAAGGAAGTTTCTGTACTGTGGATAATAGTAACATCTTCGTTCTGTTAGCGAATGTATTTACATAGGATTTTATCATTTCTTGCGTTCTTACTTTAGAATCATCTGAATACAAATTACAAAATAGACGATAAAATATTATTAGTTAGAAATGGTATTATAGAGCTTATTACAGTTTTATTATTACTACAGTTGTAGTTCAGTATACATACAAAGATGTTCTTATTTTAGTAAGATTTTGAAGAAAGTGGATAAGGGGGAATTTTTCGCACTGATATTTTATGTAAGGAATGATGTGAGAATGGCTTAATATTGTAGATGTCTTCTATCACCTGTTGTTCAGCAGTTATGGTAAACATATGGGACACTCTGCATAGTAAGCGATTCTCAACCTCCTCGTGAGTATGTACCATCAAAAGCTGAATAGTAGAATTTTAGTACCAGTAAACAAAATGTTATTACATGTGTAGAAACTTAAGAGTATTCGCCTAATTACTGTCATACATTTAATATTAATAAAAATTTTCTTAAAGTTTTGTTAAAAATAAAATTGTAGAATTTTAGCATTAGTAATCAAAATATTAATATATGTCATATTACTGTGATATACTTATGTGTTGTTTATAATATAATAATTAAATGCACAGAAGAAATCAACGTACCTAAATAATACGATTATTCTTAAACAAAATAATTTCGTTTAATGTGATTCACGTCTGAAAAAGTGATAACCTTAAAATTTCCTTTATTTCTTCACACAAAAAGCATTTACGTCACAGTAACCATCTTGAGCAGTGTCTCTTCTATATTATATAAGTCTTATATAAGATTTATTCATGTTATTACAAATAATGGAAATATTCGAGGTAAAGTTATTTCTCCACACGGAATAATGTAACACAAGAAACTCTTGAATTATAATATCTTCCTCCATAACTCCATAACAACTTTAATAGCTTTAATAACTCCCTTTAATTTTATCAAAGATTTTAACAATTTTTTAAGTATCAATTATTACGCTTCAAGGAATGAAGATTAGTAGAGGAGAATGAGTTAAATTGCAATTAAAATAGTGATTAAGTGGTGTCACTAAATAAGTGCGAAACAACTTCAATAAACAACGATTCTCGGATTGTAATTAACCCATTTTTCTGTAAGCTGAACAAGATTGCGGTTTCGTGAGCGATAATGAATGTAATTTCGTTGAACGTTCTTCCTGTTTTGTGCGGTCTAATTATCGCTTTAATTGCTGAGGATTTAACTCTTCAAAGATGAAAGATTATCGATTCGCAATAATGTGATTGTTCATTAAGATTCGATTGGAAGCTGCTACTCTTAAATATTATTTACAACTCGACTTTCTATGATTTAGGTTAGAAGTCACTTTTATTATTTTTAGGTTAGGTCTGGATTATTTCCTGTTAGGTATAATTTAATAGTGTATTAAACAAACTTCAACTTCACATAATTTTTAAATATTAATTATTATATTATTGAATGAATTACAATATTAACTAATATTATACTAAATGTTGATAATTGAAATCATATACTTTTGTTTTCTAATTTCATGATTTTTCTCCAGTATTTCATAAGATGCATTCTAATTATCGAATTCCGCAAGCTTCTTTACCACGAATTTTTATTCCCGCAATTTAAATTCCTCCAGAATTTCCTTCTCTTGATATTTTTCATTTACCCACAATAAATATACCGCGGAAGTACACACCATTTCAGAAGAAGATAGAGAAGCTGGAAGATACACATATAACGTAACCGTATAATATTTAAGGAATAAATGCAAAGGATATTCCAGCTGCTTGCTGAAGCCAGGATTTTAAGCCTGCAAGGACATAAATTTCCGCTCGCAATAAACCTAGAGACATCTGCACAGAATAATTTGTAGTCTAGCGTACAACTAACTTGCATCTGTCCTCATTTAAACTGCATGTTTCACAGCTAAGAACATCTACATCCATTACATTTAGATCACAAATTACATGTTGATTAGATAGCAACTTTTTGATTGTATAAATTACATTTAATTGCATTTATAGTGGCTTATTTTTATTGGGAGAAGGTGCGTCAGTTTGCGTCATATTAGATAAGTATGTATGTTTAAGTTAGGCTAGGTTAAATCAGTACATATATTTTAGTTATGTTAGGTCATGTTGGTACTCGTGTTTAAGTTAGGTTAGGTTACATTAAATCATATATTGAAGTTAGGTTAGGTTACAGTAATATATATATTTTAGTTAGGTTAAGTTAAATCAGTATAAGTACCTGAATTATGTCAGTTCAAATCAGCACTTACGTCTGAATTAAGTTATGTTATAATTTTCATTAAATAATGCAACTTAATATCACTGTTGGAAATTAAAATACTAATAACTGAATTTTTTGTTTGAAAATTAAATTAGATTATTTAAATAGAAAGTAACATTCTTACAATAAAAAACAGTATCATATCTCATGTATACGAGAATATTTAAACATAATGATAGAATAATAATGAAAACACAGTAATTCAATAA